AGTAGAGAATTCGTCTGCAAGAATTCATAGTGTTTCTAGTTAAAATGCCGTGTATGTGCCTGGGCTAGTGGGAGGGCAACCTATTAAGATGTTGTTTGACACTGGGTCGGCAGAGACTCTTGTACATCAGCGGGTACTTGACAGGTCCCCTAAAAGTTTTTAGTTAAGCTTCGTGGGTGACCCTGTGGTTTTGGCAAACGGCCAACCTTTGGATATTATGGGGAAGTGTGACCTGCTAATTTGCAATGATAGGGTAAATGTTGTTCAATCGGTGTTAATCGCTGCAGATGTTACCTAGGACTGTTTGCTAGGAAAAGATTTTCTGGGAAAAAATAGTTGCAAAATTGATTTTGAGGCCAAAAAAATTGTAAGGTAAAATTGTTAAGGCATAGAATGGCGTGAAGAAAGCTTTTGAGATAAGTTTGGCGGAGACTGTTGTTGTTCCTGGATGGCATGAAATGGTTTGTTAGGGTTAGTGGAACCATCTCCAAGTTTTGTTAAACAACACGATCTCTTATTTGCTTGTGTGTTATCTCGCCCAAAAGACAATACAGTAAGAATCCCCCTGTTTAACCCATCGCCAACTCGTGTGACCCTGTACCTCAGTTGGTACCTTTAGCGAGTTAGAAGAAAGTGTCCTTGACCCAGTCTAGTGCAACCACCTCAAGCATACAGCACCCTCCCCTAAGACGAAGCCAAAGATGTCCAGCAAATTTGACTTTGACTCCCTGGATCTGATCAGTAAACAAAGGACTGTACTGAAAACGTTTTTGCATGTGTGTGCAGACATCTTTTCAACGGCACCCGCAGACCTGGGTAGAACTGGTGTGGTAAAGCACCAAACTGATACAGGAGACTCCCCTCTGATAAAGCAGGTGCTAAGGCGGGTACCATTGGACCAGTCCATGGGCCTCACCAATTGTTCTGGTCAATAAGAAAGGTGGTAGTACTAGTTTCTGTGTGAACTATTGTAAGCTGAACGACGTGACCAGGAAGGATCCCTACTCTCTGCCACAAATAGACAAGACTTTAGATACACTAACAGGTGCAAAACTGTTTAGCACCCTTTAATCTCAAGTGATGGCATTTGGTCTGTGTTATACATCGGGTACATTCCAAGGGCTTATGGAGTTCGTCCTTTCTGCCCTGCAGTGGCAGACATGCTTGATCTACCTGGACGATGTCATAATTTTTGGATGGGACTTTGAGGAACACCTGGGGCGGCTCCGAGAAGTCTTCGAATAATTCCGCCAGGCAGGGCTTCAGTTGAAATCTACAAAGTGTCTTCTGTTACTGCCGCAAGTATCCTATCTTGGTCATGCGATCTCCGCCAAAGGGGTGCGTAGCTATCCACACAAGATCAGAGCAGTAGAGCAGTGGCCTATCCCTGCCGAGGTGTCAGATGTAAGAAGCTTCCTGGATCTTGCCTTGTACTATCACAGGTTCATTGTAGACTTTGTAGAGATTACTGTCCCTCTCCACCAGGTGGCTGGAGTTGTTAGCCCAGTACCACTACAAGATTGAACACTAATTAGGAAGGAAGCACCAGAATGCTGATGCCCTGTCCAGGAATCCCCTCCTTGCTGCTGAGGAAGCCGACCTGACAGTCCAGACCAATGTAATAGATAGCAATACCAGCACGTGGTCACCCAGTTGGACAAGGGCTGACCTGCACTCCAGACAAGCAGCAGATTCTGACCTGAAGCGGATTCTGGCCTGAAAGCAGAACCAGACCACCCAACAAGCTTCCTGAGAGATAAGAGGACCCAGCAAAGAGACTAAGAGCCTATAGGCGCAGTGGAACAGGTTACAGCTGAAGAATGGTACCCTTTACCGCCAGTGGGAAACCAAAGATGGTCATGGTACCCAATTGCAGTTAGTACCTCCCAGATCCATGGTACCTGAAGTCCTATTCGCCCTTCACAATGCAGCGTCAGCTGGTCACTTAGGGGTTAACAAGAGCTTGGAGTAGCCTGGCCAGCAGCATGATTTTGAAGACTGGTGCCGGCAGTGTACCAAGTGCTCCAGGAGGAAGTCCCCACAGCAGCCAAGAAGAGCACCCTTGTCAGTAGCTGCCCAAATTGCCCATTCGAGAGAATTGCAATGGAAATCATGGGCCCTCTGTCGACTACTGAGTCTGGTCAGAAGTACATCCTGGTTGTTGGAGACTACTTCTGGAAATGGACAGAGGTGTTTCCCCTTCCGAATTAAGAAGCAAAGACGGTTGCAGAAGAGCTGGTGAATGAGGTCGTTTCCAGGCATGGAGCACCTGAACAGATCCACACTGACCAGGGTCACAGCTTTGAAGCCCATCTGTTTGAGGAGATGTGTACCTTCTTCAGTATTGAGAAAACCAGGACAACACTTTACCACCTCAAGAGTGATGGCATGGTTGAGTGGATGAACCGTACATTACAGGATATGCTGGCCAAGTACGTCTCTGAGTACCATCGTGACTAGGATGTTCACCTGCCTTTGGTTATGATGGCATACAGGTCCAGTGTCCACTCATCGACTCAATATACGCCACATTATCTTTTGTTTGGTCACGAGGCACAACTACCCTTAGATATCATGTATGGTCGCAAGCCATATTAGCCGGAAGCAGCCTCGGAATATGTTAGGAACCTTAGGTCCACCTTGGATGAGGCCCATGAAAAAGCCCAAGAGCACCTGAAGACTGCCCAGAAAAGACAGAAGGACCACTACGATCGCTTTGTTGCCGGGGAGGAGATAATGGTTGGAGACCATATGTGCCTTTATGTTCCTGTGATAAAGACTGGGAAAAAGTTACATTCGCCATGGCAAGGACAGCATGTGATGGTAAAGACAATCAGTGATATGACCTTCCAAGTCGAGGAAGTAGGCAACCACAGAAAGCGAAAAGTGGTACATTTCAATCGACTTAAGCTAAATGGTGAGCCACTATCAGCCGACCAGTACTCTTATCAGCCTACTGGTCACTGTTCCAGTTCACTAATGTGGAGACCGCATCTTCCCCCTCGCTACACACCGGATGAGACTGATCTGATGTATATAGATGAGACTGCGACAGAGGGGAACAACGCTCCAGCAGGAATTGAGGAAGAGATCGCTGAAGAAGCACTGCACACTCCCTCAGAAGAGATCGCTGAAGAAGCACAGGACGCTCCCTCAGAAGAGATCACTGAAGAAGCACAAGACACTCCCCCAGAACCAGTCGTTGAAGTAATATCTCCACCTGTCTTAGACAGACCTAGATGAGAAATCCTTGACTTCTGGAAAGAACTTCAATTATGGCATTTCGATTTAGCTGCATTTAAGAGAAGATTCTGGTTTAAATAGCTCGGTAACTCCATTATGATTTTTTCTGAGGTTTCAGTAGTTTGTCATATGTTTGTTGCTTGGCATGAGGACATACCTTTTTCTAAGAGGGGGATGGTGTGGTAAAACTAAAGAAAGCGTGACCGTAGCAGCACTTTGATTCAGCAAATAAAGGTAGATGTAATCAGGACTAGTATATGCGAGTCTCTCTTCGTTGAGGACCCAAAAACCGGCAAAGTCTAGAGTAAAACAAGCAGTCAGCACTTATTTGTTGGCCACGCAACCTTTCCTGTTGTTCCCTCCCTGTAATGTCGTTTAGATTAGGGTTTTTTGCTTGTATTTTAGTTTGACGTGTTTGACATCAGATTATTACTCTGCAATAAACCGCATTGGAATCACGGTTATGTGTCTGGTGTCAAATTTAGTGCATCGATGTCCTTGTGAGAACTTTGAATTGTGATATCCCTACGCTGTAAACGCATGCATTTATAAATTTTTATAATCTTCACCAACTAATCGATAGTTATTAGTCACACATCTACTCTGATCGATGTTATTTTTACAAATTGTCTTAATAGTATTGTTTCTGATGGTGTGTCCCATGCAAGCCAAAGTGACCATAGTCTCGTCTATACATTCCATAAGATCTCCATCATTCATCTAAAGGCCAAATTCAGCGATTTCGACTCCACCAGGTTTCGCCATTATATTTCATCACAAGATTGGGACAGGGTAAACAGTTATGATGACCCAAACGTTATGTGGGGCATTTGGAAATATATTTTTTTTCCAATGCGTTGAAAAGCACGCCCCACTCTGTACAAAATGCATTCAGGCATCTAAATCACCTCGGATCACACCTCAGTTGAAGAAAAGAATGCATTGTAAAAGTGTTCTCAAAGTGAAGGCCGTTTGTTCTGGGAATGCATGCGACTGGATGATATTTAGAAAATGTCCCAATGCTGTAAACAGTGAAATCAAACAAGCCAAGGAAAAATTCTTCAAAGATGCGTTGCATGAAAATGAAGGTAATTCCCGTATGACTTGGGGAATAATTAATGAAATTACTTCGAGAAAAATCCACAGCTCTTCTGTAAGAGACTAAATTAGATAACTAGCATTAGCGATGCGCTGGAACTTTTGTCTGCTTTTAATGATCATTTTTCTAGTATTGGACTGAAACTTATCAATACCATCCAACTTACCTTGATTATGTTAAGGAGACCGAACATAGATTCAAACTCAAAACCACTGACCGTTTAACAGTTTTTTTCTTTACTACCTAAACTTTGTAAATCTGAAGGAACGGGATTAGATAACATCTCAGCATGACTTCTTCAAGAGTGTGCTGATCTGGTCTTTTTCCTACTGAGTGAGTAAATGATCTACCAAAATCTCTTGTTAACACACATCCCAGAATATATGCGGATGATACTCATTTGACCTTTGCCAGTAACGATGTTCCACTCACTGGGACTGTTGCCTTGTCATGGCTGAGTGGCTTGTGCGTTCCAGCGACTCCAAGAGCTATGCCGGCGGGGATGTTTACACCCCTGGTAGGGCCTCCCAGGCAGGAAAGGTCAAGGAGTAGGGTCTAGACTAAAGACAACGTTATCCTGTAAAAAGAATTTGTTACGGAGACAGCAACAAAGACAACCAATATCCTGCACGCAGACCTTCCAAGGTCTTCGAACCTTATGACTACCAGTGGTGAAAGCCAGAAGGAAACTACTGGCATGAAGTTGGAAGTGATGAGTGCAAAAAAAAAGACCAGGATTGGTTTTTGGAATGTGCGTACCATGTACGAAACTGGAAAGCTTGTACAGGTTACAACAGAAAGGAGACAGTATAACTTGCATGTATTGGGCATAAGCGAAAGCAGATGGATAGGGACAGGGAGATTAAAGAAGGCGTCAGGCGAGAGGGTATTGTATTCTGGATGGGATGATGAGCTACATCGTGTAGGCTTGGCAACTATTCTGAAGAAAGGAGCAGATAGATCGCTGTTGGAATGGAAACCTATCAATAGTCTCCTCATAAAGGCCAGGCTGAAAGGAAAGCAAAATAACTTGACCCTGATTCAATGTTTCGCTCCAACCAATGATAGTGAAGATGATGTGAAATACAATTTCTATCTCAGGCTCCAGGCAGAGATCGAGCAGGTCCCAATGCAAGATCTTATCATCATCATGGGGGATGTAGATGCCAAAGTTGGTGCCGATAACTCAGGCAGTGACAAAGTGATGGGAGGACACGGGAGTGGCAACATCGATGAAAATGGAGAAAGGCTTGTTGAGTTTTGCACAACTGATAATCTGGTGATAGGGGGCAGGGATAGAAATCAAATTGACCATCTGTTGATCAATGAAAAATGGCGGAGATCCCTTCGGGATGTCAAAGTGAGGAGAGGAGCTGACATTGGAAGTGGCCATCATCTTGTAACAGCCTGTTAAACTGAAATTAAAGAGTGCAGGGCGTCTAACTAAGAGGCGCAGCCGTTTCGACGTGAGCCAACTGAAACACCCAAGTGTGAGAAACCCTTTTATCCTGAAGGTGTGCAACAGATTTGAGGCTCTTGTGGAACTAGACGGAAGGGAGGATATTAACGATGAAGGCATGAACAAGAACTGGGAGAGAATTACTACTGCTAACAATGATAGCAGCAAAACATGTCTAGGCTGCAGGCAGCGGAGGCCAAAGGAATGGATGTTATCTGATACCTGGAAAGCAATTGAAAGTAGACGAAGATTAAAGAAGAAAGTGATGGACTCAAAATCCCAACAGCTTAAAGAAAGACATCAAGATATGTATCGGGCAGCGAACAAAGAGGTGAAACGCCGAACAAGAGCAGATAAACGGAAGTACATAGAGAACCTTGCATCCCAGGCGGAGGAGGCAGCTGCATGCAATGAGCAAGGAACAGTGTATAAGGTCACCAAGATCACAACAGGTAAATGCCATACAACCAAGGTGCTTGTAAAGGACAAGAACGGTATCTTATTAACATCAGAGAGAGAGCAGCAACGGCACTGGACGGAACACTTTAGAGAGCTTTTAAACAGACCACAACCAATAGTTGTGTTTAACATCCAGGAAGCCGCAACCGACCTTGACATCAGCACAGACGTTGCAACTAGGAGGGAAATCATCCAAGCCATTAATTTCCTGAAGAACGGAAAAGCTCCTGGCCATGATAATCTAAATGCCGAGCTGTTTAAAGCAGACCCTGAGCTTGCTGCACCCATTATGACCTCCTTGTTTACAAAGATCTGGGAGCAGGAAGAAATTCCGATAGATTGGAGCAGAGGATTGATAGTTAAGATATCAAAGAAATGGTCTCTAAGTGATTGTAACAACTGGCAAGGAATTACCCTTTTGTCTGTGCCGAGTAAAATCTTTTGCAAGATCATTATACAGTGCATCACCTAAGCTGTTGATGACCTCCTGCAGAACGAGTATCTGGATTTCCCAAGCGACGTGGATGAACGGATAATATTTTCACACTGTGGAACATACTTGAGCAATGTACTGACTGGAACAGGGAGTTGTATATAAATTTCATCGACTATGAGAAAGCGTTTGACAGCATTCACAGGGACAGTCTTTGGCAGATTCTGAGAGCGTATGGCATTCCACAACGCATTATTAATATCATCAAATGCCTCTACTCAAATTTCACATGTTGCATCAGTCAGGGAGATCTAAGTTTTGAAGTTAAAACCGGTGTACGGCAGGGAAGTGTCATGTCGTCCATGCTATTCAATATTGCTATCGAGTGGGTCCTTTGTTGAACAATGGAAGATCAGCAAAGAAGCATAAGATGGACCCCTTTTACTATACTCGAAGATCTTGACTTCACAGATGATTTAGCCCTATTGTTCCACACACAACAGCACATTCAGGAAAAGACAGACCGGCTCAGTATCTTCAGCAACCAGGTCGGCTTGAGAATTAGCTTTAGGAAGACGGAGGCCATGTGTGGTAATGTATCTTCACCAACAAAGATCAGGGTAAGAGGACAGGACATTCCATACACCAACAAGTTCACATACCTCGGAGGTGTGCTCTGCCGAGATGGGGGTACTAGTGTAGATATACAAAGCAGATTGGACAAAGCAAGAAATGCCTTTATGAGCTTAAGATCAGTGTGGAGGTCAGCAAGCTACAGCACAAAGACGAACCTTAGAATCTATCAGAGCTGCGTATTGTCAACTATCCTTTACAGCTCGGAATGCTGGCGAATGACAAAACAAGACCTCTCAAAACTAGCACCCTTCCACACAGCAAACCTAAGGAAGATTCTGAGAATCTTCTGGCCTCAGAAAATATAAAACGACCAGCTACTGAGGCAAACCAAGCAGGAGGATATTCGTACACTTGTCAACAGGAGAAGATGGAGGTGGATCGGTCATGTGATGCAGATGGCTAGTAACAACGTAGCCAGAATTGCAATGCACTGGACACCTGAAGGAAAACGAAGCAGAGGGCGCCCGAAAACAAACTGGCGCAGGACAGTAGAGAAGAGACTAAGGGGGCTCAATTACAGCTGGAGCACCATTGAAAAACTGGCTAAAGATAGGAGGGTTAGAAGGATTTCGTTGCTGCCCTATGTGCCACACAGGCATGATGGGTGGTAAGATAAGAGAAACAATGTTGCGTATCTAGAAGAAAATATGAACGATTATCTAAGTAAAATTACTGAATGGTTATCGGCAAATAAACTCACTTTAATAAGTCAGACTGAGTTTATGTTGATTGGTTCAAGGCAAAGGTTAAGTACTTCTAATAGAATCCCGTCTTTTACCATTGACGGTAATTCTATAAAACAAGTAGAATTGACGAAATCTCTTGGAGTATATATAGATGAAAACCCAACTTGGAACGTACGTATGAAACATGTTCCCAAAAAATTTGCCTCCAGCATTGGCATCTTGAAGAGAAGCAGATCTTTTGTTCCTTTTGAAACGCTCCTATGCATCTCTAATGCCCTAGTTCAACCTCATTTTGATTACTGTAGTGTCGTATGGGGGAATTGCAATAAATCTCTTTCCATTAGACTACAAAAACTACAGAATCACGCTGAGCGTAATTTGACCTCTTCTTCATATGATGCCAATCCGGATGATCTCTTTGTTAGACTAGGCTGGCGAAAACGTAATCTTCAACAAGAATTAAAAACAGCCACTATGGTATAAAAATCTCTTAATGGTCTCGCCCCTGATTATCTGAAATCAATGTTTACTGACCAGAGTGCAATACCTACCTATTCTCTTAGGAATTGTGCGGGCAAACTACCTGTTCCATTCCCCCGCACCAATTTTGTAAAAAACAGTTCCAGCTACAATGGTGCGGTTATGTGGAACAGCTTACCTACCAATCTGTGGTAATCACAAACTATTGCTACTTTTAAATCCAGCTGCAGGGATTTCCTTTTTGATAATAGATAAGTTAGCTAACCACACGGCATTCATGAAAGGCAGGCACTTCGTTATTGTTTTTATTTTATTGTTATTAGATTTAATTAGTAGTAGAACAGTATCTTAACAATGTAATTAATGCGATTTTAGTAATTACTTTAAGTCCTGATGTTTTATCGATGTTAAATAAATAATAATAAATAGAATAAGGACGAAATTCATTAAAAATTTTGCCATACATATTGTGCGGCTTTTCTTTTTACCACAGGAATCAGATGGACCAAATATAAGTAGGGCAGGGAAGAAGCTTACCCTAGATCCAGTTAAATGGAAAAGATCAAACCGATTACATTAAAATTCTTCCATTAAAGTTGACACAACAGGAACTGCTGTGGATTGTTGTAAAGCCATTGACATTTATCTCTGTAACGGAAGGATGGCTGAACAGGAACGCACTAATTAGTATATAATGAAACTGCCGTTTATTTTGTTTCAAAACTTTTATAGGTAACGTTTTATTGACTTCAATTTTCTACAGTCAAATAAGCAAGGTTATAATGTGAACAAAATAGTTGCCAGACTTGAAATTTGCGAGTGTGTTTTGAACAATCTTCACATTATTAACAGATACTTGCATAATATGATAATGAACCACTCTGTTGGAGCATTTTTGGTTTTCAGATGGATTTTCATCTTTGTCATGGCTAATTCTTATAACTTGACATGCTCTGCATACAATCAAATCATCATGAGTGATGTGAAATGAAACTGTTTACGTTCCAATACATACACACTGATCAGAGCGCTGAATCACAGGTTAAGTTAAGTGTTTCCTATTTGAAAAAGCTCAAACCATTTGAAATTGGTAACCTTAAATCCCAAGCCATTTTTTTTATTTTTTAATACCTATGCTTGTAATGTAGTAGTTACTAATTACTTTTCTTAAATTCTTATTACTTCATTATATCTTTTGAATAACTTTTTCTTTAACTGATTTATTTTTAAACTTCATCTAAAATGATTTGATGATCAATAAAGAATATCCTTCTGATCAAACGCAACCTCATTTCACTTTTATAATTAACCTTTGTTTTGTCAGTGTTATACAACAAGTATAGAGTCAATAGATTTTCATCAACTTAGTTATACCCTGAAGCAAATGTAAGAAACTTTTGTGATCTCAGGTGAAAGACTTGTGCAAAGTGAATAATCAAAAGCAAAGGTAAAAATTTTGAATTTCTCGCTATGTTAATAAACTTTGGGAAGAGCAGAAAATGTTTTTGCACTCACAGACACTTAAAAAAATGGTTGTTGGTTATTGCGCAAATATTATTGTATCCTAATAACCGTCTGATCACACAAGCATTGTGATGCCCCATATATTTTATTACTTTAATCACGATTCTCCTGTTAATTACAAAGCCAAGAACAAACAAGAGTAAAGTCTGATTTTGGAAACTAGTCAGAACAAACTGTCCACAGTCCAAAAAAAACTGGACAGCAGCATAGAACAAAAATACATTATTCTATGATAATGTACTACTGCACATTTCAAATAGCCCCTTGCAGTTGAAAATAACTCGCTTGATTGGCAAGCATTGTTATCATCTATGGATAGTGGTGAGGATCTTCACAACTTCATAAGATTAATTCTATTAATATACTAATACAATCATGCATAGTCATACATCAAGTAATAGGCAGGGAAAAGATATCTTCAAAGTCACAATGTATGGGAAATTTTGCAAAAGAATTGCCATCAAGTGTTATGATCCAGACTTATAGAGAAGATTACTGAAAGAACAAAGGCATTTTTCTCATTGTCTTTACAATTTTAACTGTTTACAAAACAGTGGATTCCAACTTGAAAGAATTTGTGCAAACAATGTGTACTTCTTTGATAGCTCCTATCAGAAAAACTTCAAATTTCAATTATGGTTTTTAGTCCAAAATTCAATAAATTTGCATATGCCAAAGGATGCTTCTTAGGCACTGAATATACCCCTCATGGGAGGTGCAATTTTTCCAGGAGTCAGGCAGTCATGATGCATAGAAACATAGCTTAAATGACCTCAAATTATCTGAAGTCCAATTTTCCAAGCTTCTTTTAGGGGAGATTTTATTGAAGGTTGATAAGAACGCTACTAATGTAAACCAATGTGGTAAATTCGCTCCACCCAACCAAAAGACCACACCCATCAGAATATTTTATTTCAATCACTATTTACTTGTAAAAAGACCTTCATATGGAGTTCTGATAGTTTTTGAAGGAAACCTTTCAGGATTTCCAAAATTGTCATTTTTCCTTTCAATACTGTATTCCCACTTACCATAATCCTTTGTCAACTCAGTTACTCCCCGGGTATTTCGAGGTTCGTATTACAAAAAAAGAAAGATGTTATTTTATATGACTTATTCAGATACTGGAAATGCAAGAGTTGTGCCAGCTCACTTACCATTTCCCTCAAGAGAATAGTAGTGATTAACCTTGGAATAAAAATCATTTTCAATATGCAAGCAGTATTCATGTCATATCAAAAAGCACACGAAATGCAGATGCCTGTCCACTCTACATTACGGAGCACCCACAGCTAACAAATGAAAAGACAGACAACAGAACAACATACTCTGGTACAACCCCCCATTCAGAAAAAATTTCAGCACCAAATTGGACACAGATTCCTCACCCTTATAGACAAGCACTTCTCGAAAGACCGCAAACTTCGAAAAATCTTTAATTGTAGCACAATCAAAATCTGCCACAGCTGCAAGAATAACACTAAACAGACCATCGCCAGCCACAACAAACGCAATTTAAATTCATCCAAACACATCGATGACACTGCAGATAACACCAACACAAAAGACACCAAAACTTGCAGCTGCCAGCAGAAGAACACATGCCCACTTAATGGAACCTGCGTCCAATCATCACTTATCTACCAAGCCACCATCACACGTAAGGACAACAGCACTACTGAAACGTACATCGGACTTACATAAAATGGCTTC